TCGACATTTATTTGCGAGCATGTTGTAAATTGTAAATTACATTCCTAATCTTTGTAAGGCGCCACACCCACACACACACACATACGAGTATATGCATATGTACTATACGTATGTGTGTACGTATAAAGGGACATGTTCGGTCACACATGCGTCCTCCCCCATAAACTCAACACACTAACTACACTTTAAAGCAGCTCCCCAGTGACGCACAAATAGGCAGAGCAACTGGCAGGGAGACAAACAGACAGAAGGACATGCAGACAAACAGACCGAGAGACAGTCAGCACGCACTTTTGCTCATTTGTGTTTTAAATTTCATTTCAGACAACGGCAATGAGCAAGTAAAGTAAAGAAAGTACAATTTTTAGTCGCCAACTCAGACGCTGCCGACGCTTTTGGGACTTAGCATTGTGCCTTTTGTCATGAGCGTGAGTTTGATGAGTGTGTGTCTGTCTGTCTGCCTGTCTGCCTGTTTGTCTGTCTGTCTGTCGTTCTATCTGTGTAGATCTATGTGCGCGCCAGTGTGCGCTTCGTGTCGCTTAAAAATCTGCGACAGTGACAGTGTCACGTTTTGTGTTAATTTAATTACAAGAAACCATTTGTAAATATTACGACGTGATTTGCAAAGCACGCATGGCCATGTTCCCACATCACATATCCTGGCAGGAACTCCAGGAGCCCTCCTGTGTGGGCGTCTATGCATGTCTCCGATTGCGTGTGTGAGTGTATGTTTACACTGGAATCGTGCAAATGATTTACTCGAATGTACATACATACATACATACATACATATACATGCATGTACGCGTATGTAGGAGTATGTATGTACAAGTATGTAAATGCGTCGTTTTCATTTTCATTTGTAATTCATACGCACCGAAATCGCCGCGTTGCGCATTTGTTTGCATACTTTTTAGAGGCAGTTTTTACAGTCCAATGTTAGATATAAATAAATATATTTATGCACATATACAAATGTATATTTGTGCTGAAATGCTTGCGCAAACATACGCCCTCCTGTGCCAGTCAGTTGGCCAATTTGCTTTACACATTTCGTCCAAGTTGGTCGAGCTGTGTTGCAAACAAAAAATTCCCTCATAAATTTCCCAGCTGAGTCTGCTAAGCAGCGCAGCATGTTGCTGGCAAATGTTGCGCAGCATTTCCAAAATATGGCCAAAAGCCAAACATGTTCGTGCGTGTGTGAGCTGAATCTGTTTGCCGGCATAGAGCATCGAATATTTTTGTTTATTGTTTCTATGCCAGCGCATTAGGAATAATAATGAATGTCAAAGCAAACGTTAAGTAAGACATATGTAAGCTTCTATTTATGTGTATTTGTGCCACTAAAGCTGTGTATATAGAGACGTATCTGTATAGGTATATATGTGTGCATGTATGTGGCTGTGGCAAGCGGTAAGCCCCAGGATTTGCCACACTCTTTGCCTAAGCACACGCGCCGAATGCAATTGCAAAGTTAATTAACATCTCGTGCATATCCGTCGATTGCCAATAAACCACAATTCTGAATTGATAGGTTTAACGAGCTGAAAGGTGACTAGATAAAGTCACCAGCTTAAGTTAACACTACACGTGTTAATGTACGCTCTAAGCATGCTCATTATGACTAGCTAGGGATTAAACATTACGCATACGCAGTGTAAATATCTACAGCATTTATCTCAGCACTTAAAGAGGTACTTGACGGCGGCTTGTTGTTGATTACATCCGATTAAATACGGTTAGCAAATATTCTAATAACCTATTAAATTCGAATAATATTAAGTAGCCCGCGAATAAATATAAACTAAATAAGCGAAATCAGCCTCAGAGCAATTCTAAGCTTGTCGATTAACATTTAAGTTGTACGAGCAAATAATGTCCTGTACCCTTTAACTACATTATAATTAATGCTTTAGTTGTGCACTTTGGGCATTGAAAGCTGCTAAATAGAATAAATATATTTCCATAGGAAACTAGTCAATTCGATTAAATTCATAAACGAAATGTGTTGCGAATATGCCTGTTTTTAATTTCACATGAAATCGAGCCAGCCGAACGATAATGCGTAAAGTGCGAGTATGTGGCATTGTGTGCTAAAATACGAATTATGTTGTGTGTATACTTAATTTATTTATAAAATTGATTCAATTGACCAATTTTCCATTTTGTATTTTGTATTAGCTATTTAACACAATAATCTAAAATATAATATTCACAAAAGGCGTCCGTACAATTTTTGCTTGTACAAGTAAACAAATGTTGGACAACTACATATATTTTTTTGATGAAGGCATTTATAAAATGTCTTACAATATATAGTACAATATATTAGTGCACGAGTTATGCGAGAATTGGTCATCTGCAAAAAAATAAATTGCGCAAGCATTTAAATGAATACTAAAGCTAATTAGACCATCAATACTGTGTGACCATTTGGAAGAAGTTCTTGGACTTGTTGAGCACTTTCTTTACTCTAGACGAGCCGATGGGGAGTCTTTAATAAAGGAACGTGTTTCAACTACATGAACTGTTGCATTTACTTTCTCCAGAACTCTCTCTATTCTTTAACCTCTATAGTTGACCTTTTTTGTTATCTCCGGGGAAATCTCTGACCACTATTTCCTGTGAGTCAGGGCATAGCTTGCCGGACTGGGAAACAAATTTCCCCCAACAAGAGATTTTGCTATATCTCTTGTTGTCCCTAATTATTTAATTGCCTCTTAATTAGAATTTAGTTTTCTCCTCTACTTACTATTTTTTTTTTTTGGTCTATAACGTCTTTGATAACATGTGGCTTTGAATCGGGGCATAGCTGGCCAAATGGCAAATAAAATTGCCCCAAAAGTGTCGGAGGCGTTGATAGACATTATTGTATAGTTATTTTGTAAGCTTTCTTAGCTTTTAAGCTAAAATTGTAACGTACATCTTGTTTGCCAATACCTTTATTATAAAGGGGAAAGAGTTGATTGTTTGTTTATTTGAATTGAAAAGGCTCCGAAACTACTGGACCGATTTAAAGGATTCTTTCACGGTTGGAAAGCTACACTATCCCCGACTAACACAGGCCATATTAAATTTGCAAAATAGGGATGGATAGGGATAGATAGATAGCGATCCTTACTAAAACGCCAATAATGTAGCCAAAGGCGTACAAAACTTACCTAAAACAAGCTGAACAGGATGCTGTCAAGAAGCCATTTTAATTTGTATCTACATCCGATTTTAATAAAATAAAATAAAATAAAATAAAATACTTGTATTGGAAACACAAAGATGAAAAAACATCTTTCACAAACAAAAATAAACTAAGATTTCAAACTGTAAATTGATGTTTATGATTCTTTATGATTGCTGGTCTTTTAGAAATTGCATCAAATCAGAAGATGATTTCAGATTGAGCTTTTTAAAATGATGTTGTCATGAGAAAGAAATTGAAGACTGCATCTATGAAGAGGGAGAGAACTACAAGTATATTTGAGAGTGAAGAGAGTAAGCAGCTCGCAATTAAAATTACCACACACAGACAGAGTTCGGTTGAATTTGCCTCTTGGCCGTGACATGTGCAATTTTTTCTAGCTTTGCTGTGTGACTTTGCAAGAAATGGTAAAGTGGTAAGGAGCATTGGGTCAGCATCAGTCAGTAAGTTCTATTTATATCCCAACCATTTAAGTTAGCTGTCTAATTGCCCTAAACTAAAGCAAGTCCAGCAGCAGCATTTTATTTTTCCTGTTGCTGTTGGGGGAATACTTGTCCGTGTTTTATAGCAGTCCCCAGAGCAGCCAGGTGGCAGGTGGCATGCAGCAGTCAGCAGGCAGCAGGGAGCAAGCGGGCCTGACGTGTACTGAGGTGTGCCAGCTGGGGAATGAGGACGAGTCATTAAAAGTTGCAATAAGAAACTACTTGGAGTGCACTTTCGGTCGCTTCGGCTATTACTTCTGCTAATGGTGTGCAATTTCAGTTTGCTTTACCTTCGCTTGCCGTGCGGGGGGCGGCGGCGGCGGCGGCACATGTGCGACAGGGGGCGGGGCCACTGTGTTGCCTGGTACTTTACTAACTAGTATGTGCTTTGAACCAGGAGCTCTAGCAACAAATGAAGCCGATTCGGCTGCTTGCCTCTTGATGCACAATGCGACGATCCAATGTGCCACACATCGCTTCCTAAAAATACCAATCTGCGAATGCAGGGAGCATGGGAAAGGGAGGGCGGGAAGCGCGGAAAGGCAAACGAAAAATAGCGTAGATGAGCACCACTGGGCGCCATTGTTGTTAGCATCGCACTTAAATTAAACACTCACAGCACTTTAGGCAATTCATTTCATTTCATTTTGGCCGGTCAACAAAGCCAACACCTCCTCCCCTGCAACAGCAGTCAGAGTCGGAGCTGTTGCAGCAGAGAGTGACAACAAAACAAATGGCAAATCTTCAGATGCCATGTCCTGACAGCTTGTTTTAGTCCAATCACACTTTTGTAATGAAGTGCACGGCCTTAGACTTTTCAGCAGCCGTTTTGACAGGGCTTAGAGTGCAGAGTAGCTTTTCAGCAAATCTCCAGATGCAGTGCCAGGAATCCATTAAAATATTGCATAAATAAAGGTTGAACTGCGCCGTTATGCAAATACTATGTAGTCCATTGCATTAGTTGAGCTCAAGAGCGTTTACCTTGACGTTGCCGAAAAATCGAAGGCGATTACTTGTTTGATGTTTGTGTAGATACAAAATTAGACGCAGTTGGTATTTCAGGCTTTGTAACGTCTATTGCTCTCAGTATAGTAATACTTCAATGGGAATACAAAATGTTGTCAAACTCTGCGCGTGGCTTTTTATTAAAAAACTCATTTAGAAAGCATTTACTTTAATGACTCACATCTAAAAACGCAAAGGAAACTTCTAAAACAAATAAAGTTCTAATAATGCTCAAATGGTTTATTCGAAATTTTCAAAGAAAAACATTTGAATTTATTAAAAAAAGCTGTAATTTCGCTTGGAATATGTATGTGCGCAGTATTTGAATACATTAGGCGTTTAGTTGATATGATAAAAAAAAGTGTTGGACATTTAGATATCGCTAAAATAGTCCTCCAAGTATTTTTCCAACTCACTATAGTCGACGTCATTCACAGCTGTTTCCTCGGAGGGCATTGGGTTGACGTTGTTTTGGGTTTGTTCTACTTCAGTTATAGACGAAAAGTCATATGAGTATATATCACTAGTTAGAACAAGATCCGAGTTCGAATCTTCAAACTTCAATTCATCAATATTGAGTTGCTCACTTGCTTCCCCACTTTCAATATGATTCAGATAATAGTGAGCTGAAATATTTGCTGTGATGGTCAACAAATTATATCACGAAACCTTTCGCTTTCTAAGCTCACCATTTTCTTCATTTTCGTATTTCACGGGCCCTCCAAGTTCGTCTTCATATATATCATATATTTCTCCTTCACATACTTCCTGGAGTCCTCCCTCCATATTTTCATCAATATATTTTGCAACATCGTTCTGAAGGATTTGTACATTGTACGTTTCTAAAGAGGATTCGGATTAGGACGGTTTTATTAATTGAAGCAAGACGTAGGACTATAAATATAACTTACTAGTATTTTCATCATCTAAAATGCATTCTACGACACCTCCTAACTCAAGCGGCATCTCACAAATCATATAATCGTGATTACTTTCGTAGTTTATATCTGACGCTTTGAGATATGAGTCCTCGTTATCTTCGCTACTGGTTTCGTCAATATCATCATCAGAAGCATAGTTCTCTTCTGAAAAGTATGCGTCATATCACATATTAGAGCTAGAAATAAAGTTTTAAATAATGGGCTGACCTTCGTTGTTCTCCAGCGCTATGCACTTTAATTCTTGTCGAGCCATTTGGTGCTCCATAGCAATCTGCTCATAAGGATCCATGACCTTTACGTATTCGCTGTCTTCATCTATATCGAAGGTCGCTGTAGTGTCGGCCAGTTCTTCGGACACAACGGTCAATTGCATATTCTTTTTGGGTAAGAAGTAATCTCTCTTGTAGGGGGGATGAGCATCAATGGCTTTTGGCACAAATCTGTAGCCATTTTTTATGCCAATGTTACGAAATGGTTCCAGTGTTATTGTTGAAGGGCTACTGCGCCAGTTCTTCAGGATAACAGTCTGACGTATTGGCGAATCCACGTTGGTTTTCTTTACAACTGACAATTGGCTATCATCACTAAAACAAAGTAAATTAGAATTTTATGGAAATAAGTTAGATCCATCTACAGCTACTGTCCGATATACATACATATGTATGTATGTATACATTTTTTCTCGTCATGTTATTCATGGCCCATGCTGTTTTCCAGTCGCTGTATTATCTTTTATTCACAAATTCTGAATTTCAGAGGAATATCTCAATATGAAAATTGGCATTGCAACAAAAAGTTGTGGAATTAATCGGAGCCATCTAGCCATGTTAAGCACTGGAGTACCACAAATATTTTCTACCAAGGTTAAATAAGTGTTGTTGTATTCATGCTCTTTTTGAAGGCTCTACGATTGTCAATCCATTAGCACCAATGCACATACACACATATTATGTAGAAGCGCCTTAGTAAAATTCTAAAAATACACACAACAACACACTTTAATAGTCATTTTTACATTTTCTACCTACTTGGAGCAGAATTATCCATGTTTTGCTTTTACTTTTAAATGAAACACAAATTGTTGCCATTTAAGTAAATATAACAAACGAATGCGCGCCAATTCTAGCAAACTAAGCAGCTGATCGTACTGCTGATTTTCAAGGGCCGCCCAAAATGTAACGTCGCCGTTAAGCATCTGTTTTTTGAATTTCATTTCGTTAATATGTATAATTTATTGATCTTTATGTTTTATTGATCTTTATGTTTAAATGACTACTTCTCTCAAAGGTTTAAAGCTATCGCGACTAAACTTTTCACTAGGGCGAGACCGACCATGTTGGTTTGCTTTATCATTAAGTTGTGACGAACATGTTGATTGCTAAAGGTGTGGGGAAAGAAATTGGGTTTTAGCTTTTGGGAACACAAAGAAGTAATACGGAGCTGGGTCGGACGAGTACAATGTGTGCAAGTTCCGTTTTCGCGTGCCATTCGGCGTTGCACCTAACGGGCCAATGATATCCACACTAAAAAGCGGATAAACGACTAGGTTTCCAATTCTTCGAAAACAATATATTTAAGGGCAGTTATGCTAGATAGTGAAGCATAGCTTTCAAATATGAAGGACCTATTGATCCACTTGCGCAAAAATGCATTTAACTGATGGAGTCGGCAAACAATGAAACGCGACAATTTGTTTGATAAATTCCATTAATACAACAAACAACACTTGACTGCGATGTTTTAGTTTAAATGCGAATAAGCCGCCTTCGCTGATAGTTGAGTAAGGACTTAACAAGAATGTGTCGTGGAGTGCGCTTTTATTTAAATATTGGTGCCATCTTTGTTCGTCAATCAGGCTAGAGATATTACCTCATTCACCTATCAATTATAGTGAAAACTCCCTTAATGGAAACCTCTTTTATCCGGATAGTCTCCCTCCGGCGGCCACTTTTTCTAAAACATTTGATCGGTGCATAAAGCGTTTAAGTATCCCCTTAAGCGGACCCTCCCCTTGGGCGCACAAAAATTGGCCGACCGTGAGTGTTCGGCCAAGGGAGTTTTCACTGTAATCTATTCGTGTGGCAGCTTACCTTTCGCGCAACAGCTCAATATACTCTTCCGTCCATTTTGGTTTCTTGTGGAACGTTATCAGTTCGTCCATATTGAAAGAATATTCATCTGAATGCAGAAATCGAATGAAATTTTATATTGTCTTTGGCAACTTAACTCACCTTCGTCCTGTTCCTGCATTTCGTTTGTGAAGGGGCGTCAGTTATAATGGAATATTTCAATTTTCAAATGCAAATGTGACTATTGGCGTGTTTAGCTTCAAAGTTATTTTTTTTTCATCTGCTTGGCGCTGCCAGTTGTTGTGACAGGCCTGTTACAAGTACTTTTCCTTGTTCAGCGTTGCCATACGTTACTCAGAAAGTTACTCACTGTTTGTGCATCTGGCAGCTGCCATCTGCTGCTTCTATGTTGTTTCAAGAAAATGACTACAGCAACATAATAAATAAGAGTTATATTATTACCCCCTGCCCTTAAGGTACCTTTTGTAAGGCTTGTGTAAAGTAGATAGCGGAAAAGAGGAAGTGCATCGATTAAAGTAATATAATTAGAAAATTAAATTAAATTAAACTTACTCGTCGGGCATTCTTTAATTAAAAAATATTGCCAGACAAACAGACAATTGGCGTGTTGACACTCAAAAATGGAACTTAATGTTAGTTATATTAAAGTAGGAAAAATAACATACGATAATACATTTATGTAATTCTGCATTTAGCTGATGATATAATTTACATTCCATTATTAAGCAATTAGGATCTGTAAAAAACAATTGGTATTTTCTCTCAATTGCAGCAACGACTATTCGTGATTTCTAATTGTTATCGAAAATCATGCACTAAGTATATTTAATCGAACTTTGAAACAGCCAGAATATAACGGATGAAAAGCTATAGACTTCCAATTAGTTTTCCAAATTTAATGGTTCAGTGCAACCGCAATATTTGAAAGCAGTCGCGTAACTATCGCGTAGTTCAGACATCAATTTTTAGAGGTATTCCCGTTACTGTGTAAAGTGTACATTTTTATGTTGTAGAAATTGTAATCTTGTATAATCTGAAAAAAGGGTGAACGTTGACAGAAAAAATACCGAAAGTAAATGGATGCTCAAATGCTAATTTACAAATCTAAATGCTAGTTGACAAAGCGGATGTTGAAAGAATAACTACAATGTACATATGTATGTCGGTAAGCATGAAAACCGGTAGAAAAGGCTTTCAAATCAAGCGGGTGGATTCTAATCGGCCTGGTATGGAGAGCAGCTGGAAGTGAAGAAAGAAGATATTGGTATGATTTGGATGGGAAATATTTTAAGCAAAATCAATTTACTATATTTTATTCAAAATAGTCTCCTTCTGCTTCAATACAGCTTTTTGCACGATCCAAAACCATGTCGAACGAGTGTTTTAACTCGTTGGCCGGTATGGCCGCCAGTATTCCGGTGCAAGCCTTTTGAATGTCTTCTACGTCTGCATAACGCTTTCCTTTCATGGGCAAATGCATTTTTTCGAAAAGGTAGAAGTCGCACGGTGCCATATCAGGCGAACGCGGCGAGTGGTTAATGGTTAAAATTTGATTTTTGGTCAAATAATCGGTCACAAGAGTCGATCGATTCTGAGCAATTTTTGGTCTTCAGTCTATTTGTTCAGAACAAACCGTGCACACACCTTTCGTAAGCCCAAATGTTCGGTCAAAATGCAATAAATCGATGTTTTGGAGATGTTCAATTCCATTTCCATAAATTTCAATGATGATTTCGGCTGATTTTTGATGAATTCACGCACAGTTTCGATGGAATTTTCGGTGATCACGAATTTTGATTGGCCACATGTTGATCGTCATTTATGTCCTCACGACCACTTTGAAAACGTTGAAACCACTCGTGCACTCTGCTACGGGCCAGGCAATCATCGCCATAAACTTGTTCCATCAATTGAAACGTTTCGGTAAAAGTTTTACCAATTTTAAAACAAAATTTAATGTTGGCTCTTTGTTCGAAGCTCATTTTCGCACCGATAACACAAACATACTGACACTTAAAACGCAATAACTTCACTTCCAATCGATGAAATGTCATGAAATTCACACTGGACAATCGATAAATATAGCAGATTCTAACGCACCAGTCGACACATAGATAGCGCCACCAGGTGGTCCTGTTTTCTCCTGTCCTGTCCTGTTTACTTTGGAATGTACGTTGTATTAACCATTTGGTCTTTGACAAGTCAGAGATCAGTCTGTCGCCAATTTCAGGGCCCCAATTAATACATATATAAGAACTTTTTAATTTCTAATTTCAGCATAAAATACATTTATGTGAATAGCTTCAGAATGAAAGAAATATATGATAGATAAGCTGACCAAAATAGAGGAAGTTACTTCTATTAGGTGGAAGAATATGACAAAAATCAGTTAATAAGTTTCATGTGTTATTTGAGTGACCCCTACCCCTACCCCTATCATTGAACTCGAGAGTATTCTCACACGAAATGACGACAAGAGAACTCTAGTTCGTGACATCGGATGGTGTGGTGCGGTGTGGTGGCATCTGGAAGTTAAGTGCTAAGCAAGTTTGCTCTTTATTGCTTTGGTTGTTTCTTTTTTGGACACCAGTCGCTGCTACTTCTCACCTCATGGATGGAGGGTGTTAGAAAAGCCAAAACTGTCGTTTGTTTGCTGCACATGTGCGAGGGAGTGGGTTAGTTAGTGAGTGTGAGTGAGTGTGTGTGTGTGTGTGTCCCATTGATTTTCTTGGTTTTTGTAATCAAAAGTTGCGTTCCCACGGCGCGCTTACACTGATTTCTCGCACACACACGCAAAACACACATCCAGGGATGGGAACGCGTACGCACATCTTAATTGTGTGCAGTTGGCGACGTCGTCGTCGCTTGACGGCAGCGTCGTTTGAGTCAACGACAACGCCAACGCCAACAACAACAACATGGACGATGAAGACGACGACGACGACGACGACAACGACGACTACGACTACGACTACGTTGGAGTATAA